GACCTAGCATGCTTAAGGATTAGGAATTAACTTAGAAAGGACACATGTAAAAGGACTAACTATAGAAACCCCAGATTTTCATGTGAACTGCAATTTTCCTCCATGAAAAAGATTTCTTCAATAGTCACCAAGCTGTTAAAAGTTTGAGTAAAACTAGTATTCTGAGATGAACAGCAAATCTTCCACAACAATGGATCACGATTGTTGTGAAACAAGGGATATACACAGAAAGAAATTGCCTGAAATGAAATTAATATGAGGGAAAAACATTAGAGAGCATTAATTTTAAACTGCCATCGTACTACAGTCAAAAGTCGTTAATCCAGACTCGTCGGGACTTTAAGTCCCGTTAATCCAGACTCGGCGATTCCGGATTATCGATTTCTCCGGATTATAGATCATCAGTTTAAATCTGGTAAGATGGCATGCAGAAATTATAAAATTAAAAATATGAAACTGTAATTTATGAAATAAAGAACAATTATGATCTAAAAGGTATCAAAATTTAAAAAAAAAAAAAAAAAAAAAAAAAGCTTAATGTTTATTTGTTTACTTTACTTTCTTCGCTATCGGAATCGAATTATAATGACGAGGAATTTGATTTAAATCATATCAAAGACGGAGTACATCGAGATGAAATACTACATTTAGTAAGGAATTATAAGCCAAATAAAATAAAAAACATCTGCCCTGAAGATAAGGATAGTGCTGACAGATCAACTTCCAATTCATTGCGTGCCACGGCATCTCCACGCCGCAGAGCAGCGTCAAATTGATAAACAGACTTCGGAATGGTTAGATAAACAAAGGATATGCCTTTATCCATTTTTTGCAGCAATTCCACTTTTTTGTTTAATGGACTTTGAAACATACTTTCGCTTTGTAGATCCTTTACATATTAGTAAATATATATTGGAAATTCTATTTGACATAATCGAGAGTTCACGCTTACTTTTATAAAAATTGCTCTAACAGTCTGCAAAAAATAATAAGCCGGATCCAATTCGAAGATTAAGGAACAACGCAATCTGCAACATTAACTGAGATAATTTTAGCTTAGCTTATACCGTCCGTTGTATGTTAAACGCACATGCGTAACCGCATTTTGGGCATGTGCACACGCATATTCGCAGCCGTAAAGGTCTTACGCTCATGCGTCAGCGCGACGCATGCGCAGAAAGTTTGTGGCTTTGAGGTCCGGAGTATGGGTGTCCGAATTAATGACTTTTGACTGTATATATTTTGTGCTATCTGATGGCCATTATCTGCTCTAATAGCAATATGTCCGTGATTGGTAGAAATGGAGCTATTTGCAATTTTGTTTTTTTTTTTCTGACGACAAACTTGCAGAGGAGAGTTTGAAATCAATTAAATTGATGCATACATAATATAATTTAAGAAATCAAATGAGCAATAAATAGAGAAACACATCACCTAATGCTTTCTACTTCAAAATGTGATTATATAAGCAGAAATTAAGCTCCCCTTAAATCGCATTTAAGAGGCCAAAAAGGCACAAGATTGTGAGCTGCAGTTTTGGCTATGCCTGCTATATAGTCATGACTATGAATTTTATGAAAATTCAAAACAAACAACACAGCATTTTCCCTGATAATCAGAGATGCCGCAAAACAGCTGAAGCACTTTTACACTGGTCATCAAAACTAAAGGATAATGACAGAAATAAAACGCAGATAAAGATAACTCAAGATATTTGATGAAAAATTATTAATAGAAATTTATACAAAAGCATTAGTTAACAAAATTTACAATGCTTTGTTGTTGATAATGTGAAAAATAACGAAACTGAAACTAAATTAATGGAAAAATTAAGTCACCTCTTGTGAAAAGAATTTTTCTTTAAATGATCACCTCAACCAGTACGCATACATCACATCTTGATTTCATAGATTTTACCAAAGTGTTGATCAAGCCTTGTGTAACTGCATGCAACTCTTCTAAAAGTGTACTTTTCAGCTCCTGCAGGGTCCGGGGTGAAATTCGGTAACCTAAAGCATCCCACACATGCTCAATCAAGTTTAAATCAGGTAAGTTGACCAGGCTATTCAAGTGACATCTTACGTTTGCAAGTATTGCAACAAAACATATGCTAGATGAGGCTGAGCATTGTCATCCATTAAAAAAACTTGGACAACAGCAAAATTGACATATTTAATTAAGAGCAGAAAATTTAGGCACAGTTTAGCATGGGTAGTTTTTATTGCTTAGATGATTTTATAGATGCAGTTAAAAAATCGTGTGCAATAGGAATAGTAATTTATTAGTTTATTTCAATCAAAATGCACAATTGTGAGTCATAAAAAGGCAATACACAAGGGGGAAAAATAAAAGTTCTTTTTCCATCCTCCAAACAGAATATATATTGAAAAATGTGAAATCAGTTACCTGCATTGTGAGATGGTAGTATGTTCAAGAAAATAAGAAAAAAGCTTGGTTCTAATAAGTTCAAATTTATAAGCCGCATTCGAATTACAATTTTCTATGAAATTTTATTAAATATATTAAACACTAGTCTTGCATATTTTTTTGAATTGTATGTTTATGATTTTTCTCTCAAGATTGAAAATAAAGTTGTACATAAATTTATACCATGCATAAATACCAGTAGTATTCATAACATGATAAGTGAAACTTCAAAAACTGAGTCACTGATTTCACCAATATCAGCATTAACTGTTCCTTTGTTCAATTTTTATCTAGCACGAAGCTTAATTACTAATTAGAACTAGAAATATACTATCGAGCAATCTGTACAAATCAGCCAAAATTGAATTACGAATTCAGAATATGAACTATTTGCAAATGTTACCTGAAAAATTTTCCACTTCAAACTTTAAATCTGATGAACTTAAGTTCAGCAACATGTTCTTTATGAAAATTAAGGATATGGCTCTGGATAAACATTATAGCTATCAAAGTTAGACAATTCTAGCATTTAACAAAAAAATGCAGTGCCATTCTTGGTACTTTCTGATTATCCACAGCCCCACCAAAACGTGATGAAATTGTTGATTTTGAGGAGCATTTACAAACTTGTTCGAGACTCTTTTTTTTGCCAAGCTAATGCATGATCCGCTAGAAATTCTATACAAGAGCAATCAATCAATAAAATTTAAAAAGCAAGAAATATTGGTAATAAAACATTAAACTCTTTTGAGAAATCCTTCCTTTTTTATGCTGTTGTTCTCCCTAAGTAAACAATGAGACATATTCACCTAAAAAACATGAGAATTACACAAATTTGGCATTCAGACAACTTTCGCATCACACATCAGCCAAAACAGACAAGTACTATGTACATAACTGGGCTGCCACCAAAATATTTTTAGACGACATCATGGGCTGCCATATAATTATTTTATTACTGCATATTACTGTTTTGTCTTATGAATAAATACTTTTTCACAACTTTACAGTGCAGATGAAGATAATCAGAAAGTACCCTTTTCTTTTAGTAACAGGGTTCGTACACATTTCTGCACATGGAAATTAAGTACTTTTAAGGGCCATTAATGAAAAAAATTAAGGACATATGAGCAAACGGGAACTGAATAAATTCAATTGAAGATATTATCTATGCCTGAATTTCACTTTTGTAATACCATCCTAACAATAAAATAGATCCCTAAGTAGTACGCATTATTACTAAACATGAATTAATTAACATAATTATTAATGAGTTTGAGAATAAAATAAACTATGAAATTTATCAAGTAGCATTAAATATTTTACACTTATGATAGTTGGTCATATTTGCACGTTTATATCGATTTCCTTCTCCCAAAATTAAGAAATTCATTGCAAATTTTCTGTAAAATACATCCACTACGTGTGTTGATACCATGGAGACATTTTTCATTTTGTCACATATTTCTCGAATCTTCTAGAATCGTGGTGGGTCTAAATCTTGCCTTAAAAACTTCTAAACTTTCTAAGCTGCAATGCCTAAATCCTAAAAAAAAAATTATCCTACCATTTCTGTAAAAGAAAAAAGCCAGAAATATTTGAAAAAAGAAGAGGAAGGAGGGAAAAAAAAATATAAAATTAATTTATAGAGAAAACTGATGCACATTCTGAGAATTTTGAATATTCTGAGACAATTACATGGGAAAAAACTCTTCTATGAAAAAATTAAAACAAGACATTTTAATTAACTACATAGCTAATTTTGCTTTTGCTAAGAGCGTTTAGTAAATTATTGCTTTAAAGCATTATACCTTGTTCATTTTTCAGATTTAAAATATTGTAAAAGTTGCCAAAATGAAACTTTATAATATGACAGCGAAAAATAGAGATGTTTTATTTTAATGTTATTTTTTAAATTAATTCAATATATTACCATTATTTTAATAGAAATTTATCAATGTGGTACGATGTTTTAAAAAAAATCGTCGAAAAAATTCTCAGATCTCTGAATAAAAGTAAATTCTCAATTTTGGAATTAAAAGTTTCTATAGAAACTGATCTTAAAATTCCCAAAATGTTGAACATGTCGCCAAATTTAGAACCCTTTAATAAAAGAATTCACATTCCTCAAAAGCGAAAAGTTTTTTGATTTCTTTATTAGAAAAAATGAATTTTGAAAGTGCTTATGTTTCACTTCTTGTTTAGAAACTTGAGTATCCCATCATTTATATTAGAAATAGCACAAAATTACAAATTAGAACTCATTCAAAAGATTACCATATATACAGCAGTGAATCGGCAAAAATATTCTTCAAAATGCTGATTCACACTCAAAATGGCCGTCGTAAAAACAGACAGAAATTTCAGATGATTAAAATTAAGGACCTTCTGTTGATTTTGGCCAAAATTAAGGACTTTTAAGGACCAAAAATCGATTCCAAAAAATCTAAGGACTTTTAAGGACTCTTAAGGACCATACGAACCCTGAATAAGTAATATATACCAGTATCACATGTACACAGTGCTATTATTAATTCTAATTATAGAATAATTCAAATAGTTTTTTTTATTACTTCTTTTATTTTTCCATCACAGTCATTTTCTTGAACATAAGGCACAGAATCTTCAGAAATGTTTTCAACTGATTTATCTTTGACATAACTATCATTACTATCTTCATTCTGAAGAAAATTATAATTAAATCATTAGTACAAGATAAAAATATTTATACATTTGATAATATACAAAGTATTTCATAAAATATAGTTTTTGGAAGATACAGAAAGAAAATGAACAAGAGAAGCAAAAGCAGGAAATCAGCAGAATTATCAACACAGCATATAGATTTATGCAATTATTTTTAACATTTACATAAACTAAATTAACACATTCTATGAAAAGGCATTTAATATTCACAAAAATCAAAGAATAAATTTAGTACAAACCGAAGTGGGGGGGGCGGGAAATTAACAATAAATTTAAAATTAATTGAGTTACAGCTCACATCAACTAAAAATCAATTTGTTCTTCCATTAAATGCAACAAAATGACACTTCTACGTGACTGGAATAGGACACATGTTGAAGCAACTTATAATTTTTTTTCTAATTAAGGCAAAAAAATCTGCATCACCAAAAGTTATAAAAGAGTTCTACTTGCATCTACCAATGTATGCTCCCCCAATAGATCAAAAGTTTCCAACTAACTACTCCAACAGAAAATAGGATGCAAAAAACAGCTAGATATGTCATACTACACCGATCATTAGAGAACCATTACAAAATAATAATGGTCTAAATTTGATCATTAAAGGGAAAAAAGTTTATTTACTAAATGTAAAAACTAAACTAGTGATCTTTCCTTGCAATAAATTGAATATCTATAATAGTGTTCTTCCTTTTTTTTTCCCCCCAGGGGGAAACATTTCGTATCATATTAGGAAGGATCCATATATGAAAGAATTTTATTTTTCCTATCCTATTAATTTCCTACACTATTATATTTTTATTTTTTGCATAGTGATAGTATTTTACATTTTTGTATTTTTAATTCTTTATATTCTGTTATTGTATTGGTATTTCTCACAACTTACAAATGCAGTTTAATTGCCAGGATTTTTTAAAACTTATTATATTTTTGCAAAGTTCAATTAATTTTTGGATTGAAAGGTGGGAGGATGATAAATATTAATATATTAGGCTAGCAACTATAGCTCCAATGTGCACTACTTATTTTCCATGTTAAAGTTTTTTTGTGGCAACAAAGAGTTATTTATTCTGTTTAGAATTTGAAAAAAGAGAGAATAAAACATGTTACCTTTGTTTTATATACATTAGCATTTTATTTGAGAGTTTTTTTATTTTTAAGTTCCCTTAAAGTTTATTTTGATACGTGAGTTGACTCGACAAAAGAAAAAGTCCTTTTTGGAACACTATACCTTACAATAACACATCATTACTCTCTTTATGAAATAAACATTCTATGTAAAAAATAAAATAAAATAAAAAATAATTAAAAATGAAAAAAAACCCTTTTATTAGTTTATTTACCTACACATATTAAAAAATTAACAGCTGATTAGATACAAAAGTTACTATAATACACACTAAATAAGGATTCTCAAACTTTTTAATATTTCTCAAACAACATTAATTTATAAAGGTATTTTTACTCACTGTCTCAACTTTAATTTCATCTAGCATTAAGTCTGCAATGTAATCAATTTCACTATCATTGTCACTATCATACAAATAGGACTCATCATCTTCAGACGACAAATCATTTTCAAAATTTTCCTAGAAAATAATGTTTATACATGCTGTATTCTATATATATCACAAAATTAATATGAAACTCTATAAAATACAATTTATATATAATACAATATACATGTAAAACTATCATAATATATTTTAATATATTTCCTTCTCTCTCTTCCTTTCAGCTCAAAGGGCATCAGCGCAGAAGATATATTAATTTCATTTTAGCATTTTGTGTCGAAAACTTAAAAGTCTGAATCACTTTTCAGATTGTTGCCACTATATATTATCGCCACGTATCACATTTAAAGAAATTAAATAATGAAAAGTCTGCAAAGAGGCATGAAAGTTTCTCGCATTTGTGATAAGACAACGGTACCTAGAGCCATTAAATTTTGAATAAAGCACACTTCCACCCAAAGATGTGCATCTGGAAGTCCGAATCTGGAATTTGTTTTTATTAACAATTTCATATTTTGTAAAGCATTTATGAGTTTTTGATTAAGAAACTCAATGATTTCAAAGCGAGCAATGGCAACACTGTACGAAAAAAAAAAAAAAAACACTTTTATCTCCAGCACGCGAGACTGTGTATATCGAAAATTCTACAGATATGCTCAATTTAAAATTATTTTGCGATATTCCTCTTTAACCCAATTTTATGGTTTAACTGGGAAAAACATGATATTTAATTAATAAAGGCAACACACAAAATGTTTAAAAAATGCCCTTTTGGATGATTTTAAAATCTGAAACCTTTCAGAATTTCTTTATTATTATTATTTTTTTTAATAAGGTATCCCCAGCCACCCTTTAAGAGAGGGAGTGTATAAAACATTTTCTCCCTCCTTACAGCACACTTAACGTGTAGTCGAGAGGTCCAGGTTCAAGTCGCAGTGAGAGCATTGCTCATTTCTTACGTATCCAGCATCAAAATATCCCAATGACTACAGTGGAAAAAACGTGGTGGCTGACGATTTTTCACCACCAGGATTTGGTGACTGGGTCCCCTAATTCCCAGTCATCACTTAAAAGGGGACGTATATAAGGTATTTTCTTTCTGCATGCCTTCGTGGTGTAACGGTAGCACACTCGCCACATATTTGAGAGGCTCAGGTTCGAATCCTGGCAAGGGCACTGCTCATTGCCTACTTAAAAAATCTTAATGATGCTACAGTTTGATTCAACATAACTTGACAGAAAATATATTTTTCCCCCCTTGAGAATTTTATAATTAACATTATCTAGTAAGCTTCAGTATATATTGGTCAAATCAAACTAGTTTTGAAATTTTTCATAAAAGAAAAATTATCTTGTATATAAAAAAAAGATGTTAATAATTTTTTTTATAATTCATCCTTGCTATTTCTTCAAAAAACTTCAACATCTTTTCTTAAAACATTCTAATAATTCCCAAAGTTTATCAGTTTCAACTAAAAATTTTGATTTTGCACCTCACATTTGAATAATTCTGGTACATAAAGTTTATGAATTTCTTTATCTTTTCCTTCCCATATACGAGATCAAATGTATGCAGCGCTATGCTATGGAGTTTAAAATAGTGTATTTGTATGGTACAAATTTTGGTTTCAAGTCATTATCCCATAAATTGCTGTGAGTTACACATTTAAAAATTATTTATGAAAACAGCCTTAACAGCTGCATATAATTTAAAATAAAAAAATTTAGGAAAAAAAAAAAAAAAAAACCTCTCTCAGACAGCACAATAATTTGCATACAAGTTTTCCATTCATCTAATATAAAAAGCCAAGCAAAAAAATAAATTTCAAAACTTCATTTTGATAAATTCGCATGGAGGGAGGGGGAACATATATCAAAATGATCAAAATTATGGGAAAACTACAATTAAGAAAAAGTTGTGAAAGTTTTCTGTTATGTAAGCAATCTTCAACTATAAAAAGAAACTGTTAATTAGAAACTAATCACTCTATTTTAGGTTCTTCAGTAATCTAAAATGAAATACCCTAATACAACTTTTATAACTAAATATACAACACTATTATTAAAAGAAGTGTTTTTTTTTTTTTTTTTTTAAATCAAGAAAGTATAGTGGTATTTTGCTTAACAAATGCAATCTGTTCCAGAATGACATTTTTACTGTGGAACTGTGTGTAAATATGTGTAGTAAAAATATGTTTATTATGCTGGACTTTCTGTCCTATACATACTGACAGAAATAATTTTACGTTCATGACCCTGATCCAAAGTTCGAAAACATGACAAATTTTTTAATGAACATGAAAAACCCCAACTATATTAGAAATGCTAAGGATTTACTTATTTATTATTTGTCCCAACTTCAAGAAGTCTAAAGTTAACTTGCTTTTCCTTCTTCTTTAAATATTAAAATAGTGCATGATATTGTCACTGAAAAGATATCCCTATCCTCCCCAGACAAAACATCTCAACAAGCTCCTCAGTTCCCTATTCAACGACAGCTTGCAATTGTTTGGTAGTGTAGTAACATCTTTGGGTATTTTCTGATGACCACCCTGAAATTATTCAGGAAAGTTGAATGTAACCAGCAATCAATTACTATTCCTATTTTCATTTCCATTCATGTAATCCGAAGAAAAACATTATTTCATTCCTGAGAAAAATTAGAACATGGAAGTCCTTCATCAAAATTCCCACACATCTGTTTATAGCTGCTTAGTAATGCATCCGCTGCTTGCCACCAAACACCCAGGTTTGAGTCACAGCCAGAAAATTTTCCAATGCCTATCAACATTATAGCCATAAATAATCAGGGTGTTCTCGCCAATCGAGAAACACTGTGAAATTTTGGTCAAATGTGAATTCAGAAAGTCATCATAACATGCTCAGGAAAACTTGAACAAAAATACTGGATGCAGCTCAGAGAGAATTATTTTTTAGTGGACAGAGAGAAATCTCCTCTCTTGTATTTTCAACTCTGTCAAAAGCAATTTTTTGTTTGCTCTGCCAAGAGCATTAGCCAGTAGTCAGATTTTCTGCTATCTCGCTTAAAGCAACCTACTTGGAACAGCCACTTGCAGCCAGACGATGCAACAAGGCTGTTTGCCTTATGCAATAACTTTACTCTGCCCCCAAAAGAGAAACTCCTTAAGAATATTAACGTTCGACTAGTAGACAGAAACTTAGCAGAATTTGAACATCTGTTTGTTCATCTTCCCCCCCCTTTTTCGATGAGAACCTTATTTTATAAATTATTTCCACATAGTCTAGAACTAGAATCCAGAGTCGTAGCTAGGGTTTACAACGAACTGAAGATTTCGTGCCCCCTACTGCTTACCAAGGATGGAAAACAATTAATTCTAAAATGTCGTAACATCAGTTTGGCGCCCCTTGGATTCTGCGCCCGAGGACAGATGCCCCCCCTTGCCCCCCTCTAGCTACGCCCCTGCCAGAATCTTAAATATGTTACCTCCTTGCTTGTGTCAACTTGCTACACCTATTTAGGCTACCCGTAAAATGGTGGCAGATAAATGGGATCATGGATGAAGAAGTGAATGAGATGTCCTTGCTCTTCGTGTAACATCAACAAAGACCGTATGCAGAAATGCCCGCAGAAACATGTGAAGAAAAAATTTTCCTTTGTGTTGACAATAGTGAGATTTGTGTCAACTAAGTCATCTGTTCTGAGAATATGCAGTTGAAGAAGAAGCTTACTATCTACTGTGCAGTGATTTGTGTCCAACGAACTGCGATGATCGAAAAATAAAGTGAAAAAAAGAGTAGTATTCCTTGGTGATATGGGGGAGGGGAGAAAATAAAAGAAATTGAGTGACAATTGTGATTAAGAGCTTCCTGCAATAATAACAAAAAAAAGTGCCTGCTTGTCTGGAAAATGGTGTAAGTCAACTTGGGCATAGTATATAATTAGAATTGTTATGTGAAACTGCTATGCCAGATTTATGTTTAATTTGATAGGCTACTCCTAACCATAAATGGTTTTGAGGAAGGAAAATTTTTCAACTTTAAAGTGAGCATGCATTTTGTGTTATTCTTATTTTTTCTGAATTGTAAAAATTGTACTTTTATAAAACTGTATTATTTTGTATTTTATTGTATGATCCTAAAATTTTTAGAATTTACAAAATGTCAAATCTTTTGGAAGGGTAGGAAACATGATCTCATAAATTTGTCTAAGGAATTAGGTTTAGAGGGTCCCCCCCCCCTCCTCAAAAATACAAGACCTTTAAACCTCACTGTAAAGAGTAATGAAAAGATTGTCGAGGCAACTCTAGAAATGATTACTGAAACTAGGATCGAACAGCATAGGCTTGGAGACGGCGAAAGAAAAAGTTTGAATTAGAACAATTGTGGTGAACAAACCCTAATAATGGCAGAGAAAATTTTCCCAATAATATTCCGAGATCTATAAGAGAACAGAAAAACTTAATGCAGAGATATAATCCTGAATCATCAGATAGTTTGCTTTATTTAGCAATGTTTCAGCATCAAATTAACAAAGAGAATGTAGGCAAAGGAGACTGTGTGTCACATTTGATAGCTCTACTGCTAATGGGAATTGCTTCTATTATTCTATGGGAGACCAAAAGGAGCTTGACAATTACACCTACGCAAAGAAAATTCTTTTGTTAGTTGAGACCAGAGGCTTTTCATATGAAATTTGTTCAGCACCAGCAACATGCAGGTGCGCTATATAAGGATTTTGCTTCGCATAACTTCTTTGAGAGCATGAGAGAAAAGCTCATACTCGACGATTCAAAGCATTACTGATTATGACCCCACCATTGACCACATTGTCAAAAGACCTAAAACGATACACCATAATCCTAAATGGTAATCTTGTATATATTTTCTTGTATATATTTTGCTATTATTTAATCAAGAATTATTTTATTTATCCAGGTTTAATGTATCTGAACTTTAAGAACTTTGCATATGCACGTGCCCTCTGCGGAGTTTCTTACTGCAGTACTCTATGATACGTCGAGAAAGACCACGTGACCACCTCTCAGAGTAGCCAAATCGAGAGCTCCTCCCTCAGTCAGAGGAATGCCGCTGAA